CAGGATTCTTGCTCTATTGCCCAGGCTGGAGTGCAATCTTAAAAAGGTTTTAAAAACCTCTTTTATGTCAATAATTGTACTTAACAACAGAGACAGGAAGGAATAAGGGAAGAAAATAACAAACAAACAGCCAACCAATATTTCATTTAAGTCTGTGAGATGCTATGCAAATACTGAAGAGTAATTTACTTCCAATTATGTAGTCACTTTCAGAATAGGTGTAATATGATACTGAGAAAAATGTACGTTCGGTAGACCTGGGGTGGAGAATTCTATAAATATTCCCTGAGTTTACTTATTCCAAGTCTAAATTCAAATCATAGATGTCCCTATTAATTTTCTATCTGATTGATCTATCGAATATTAACAATGCGATGTCAAAATCTCCCACTATTATTGTGCGGGAGTCCAAATCTCTTTATAAGTCAATAAGAACTTGTCTTATGTATCTGGGTACTCCTATATTGGGTACATATATATTTATGATCATAAGCCCCTGTTGCATGATCCTTTTACCATTATATGTCCTTTGTTTCTTTTGGTCTTTGTTACTATTAAAGTCTATTTTGTCGGAGACAAAAGTTACAACTCCTGGTTTTTTTTTTTTTTTTGCTCTCCATTTAATTGGTAAATCTTCCTCCATCCCTTTATTTTGAGTCTTTGTGTGTAGTTGTGAGTTAGATTCGGATACAATGTACCAATAGATTTTAACTTTTTATTCCATTTGCCTGTGTCTTCAACTGGGATATTAACTCCATTTAAATTTAGGATTAATATTAATATTTGTGAGTTCAATATTATAATTTAATGCTAGCTGGCTATTTTGCCCATTAGTTGATGTAAATTCTTCATTATAGAGATACTCTTTAAGTTTTGGTAAATTTTTGGGATGACTGATACTGGTTGTTCCTTTCTGTTTGTAGTGCTTCTTTCAGAAGGTCTTGTAAAGCAGGCCTGGTGGTGATGAAATCTCTGAGTGTTTGTTTGTTCGTGAAAAATTTTATTTTTCCTTCATTTATGAAGCTTAGTTTGGCTGGATATGAGATTCTGGGTTGAAAATTCTTTTCTTTGAGGATATTGAATATTGACCCCCACTCTCTTCTAGATTGTAGGGTTTCTGCTGAGAGGTCTGCTGTAAGTCTGATAGGCTTCCCTTTATGGGCAACCTGACCTTTCTCTCTAGCTGCCCTCAGAATTTTCTCCTTTATTTCGACCCTAGTGAATCTAGCGATTATGTGTCTTGGAGTTGCTCTACTTGAGGAATATTTTTGTGGTGTTCTCTGGATTACCTGGAGTATTGTCCTGCCTTACTAGGTTAGGAAAGTTTTCCTGAATAATATCCTGAAGAATATTTTCCAACTTGGATTCATTCTCT